AAGAAAGAAAGAAAGAAAGAAAGAAAGAAAGAAAGAAAGAAAGAAAGAAAGAAAGAAAGAAAGAAAGAAAGAAAGAAAGAAAGAAAGAAAGAAAAGGAAGGAAGGAAGGAAGGAAGGAAGGAAGGAAGGAAGGAAGGAAGGAAGGAAGGAAGGAAAAGAAATAGTGGTGAAAGCATCAGGGGTGTCTGAAGACCTTATCCACTCATAAAGTTCTGCTCTCTGTATGAGAGAACGTTAAAGGAAAGGCAGTGACTAAATCCAGAAGAACTCTCCTGAGGGGAGGTAGAAACAATTGGCTGTGATCTGTGAAATCAGAAAGGAAGCTGGGCCCTGTGACTTCACAGTAGTCAACTTACTCACTTTGTCTTTATATAAGATGGACGGAAAGGAGAGAACAGGTGGTAAATTTGCAGAACTCAGCATACTTATATACCTGATGAACCAACTAGTATTGGACTGAGAATTCTGAAAAATTAAGGGGTATGATAAACCTGATAATAGCAAAGAAACATTGTTCTGTGGGAAAGGTAACAATGGCTCGCTGAAGTTAAGAAAAGAGTTTTAAAATGCATACAAAAGTGAAAGTACTTTATTTTGAAAATATTTGAAAAGAAGTATTTATGTATTAACATAGCAAGTAAAACACAGTTTTTACATAAGCAATTAATCAAATCATTTTAACAAGCAATTTAAAGCTTTATTTAGATTAAGATAATTTGCCCCAAACTAGCCTAATTAGTAGACTTTTCTATGAGAAAAAGGTACTTCCTATGCTAAATTTGAAATTTAACATTCTTTTTTAATTGACAGTGGACACATGTACTCATGTGAGATGGTGTGTGTGTGTGTGTGTGTGTGTGTGTGTGTGTGTGAGAGAGAGAGAGAGAGAGAGAGAGAGAGAGAGAGAGAGAGAGAGAGAAAGCACCTCAGTGGGGAATGGTCACACTGCAATCCTTTTACTTCCATTTCTCCATCGCAGCAGGGTTTGGGACATGCACGCACATATGCCTAGCAAGTTTTCTCAAGTTGCAGGGGCTGGGATTTGAATCCTGCTCAGCTATATGAGATCTGGCTCCCTATGCTGTGGTGAGAAAGAGAGAGAGAGAGAGAGAGAGAGAGAGAGAGAGAGAGAGAGAAAGCACCTCAGTGGGGAATGGTCACACTGCAATCCTTTTACTTCCATTTCTCCATCGCAGCAGGGTTTGGGACATGCACGCACATAGGCCTAGCAAGTTTTCTCAAGTTGCAGGGGCTGGGATTTGAATCCTGCTCAGCTATATGAGATCTGGCTCCCTATGCACTGTGTTTAACCCCTGAACTATGGCACTGGCCCTGAAATTCAAGATGTTTATCACTGTCAGTATCACTCATTTTGTTTGAGGTATTAAAAATGTGTTACTATATATTGACAGATTTGGTGGTTGCTATTAGAAATTGTTACTTAGATTAACAAAGAATGCAAAAAAAAAATACAAAGGACTAACTACTTAAAGTAACTTAAGTAAGTATATTATCTATTATTAACAGAAGAGCAGGGCTAGCAGGTAGCATGGAGGTTAAGGCATCTAGATTCCACATGGTTGACTGAGTGGTTTGAGTCCCAGACTCAATGGTATGTGCATGAGTCCCCAAAATCCTGAGAAGAGAATGAAAGAGAAGGGATTATGGCATGGCCATCCTTCCCGGGGTATGATTTCTCACTCTCTCTTTCTGCCTTTCTCCAATGAGCACACATAACCTTATAGCAAACTAATTAAAAAAGAAAGAGAAAGAGAGAACAGAGGGATGTTAATAGAACTAGGCACCCCCCCCCCTTTTTAAGTGCCAAGAAAAAAAGTTCACATTCAAAGAACATAAGGCAAATTTATTGATTTTAGGTAATTTCCATTAATTAGCAACAAGGTAAAAGCCTGTGTTATTTGCCTTAGCAACTTGTCAGAACGAACCAGAGAATAAAGCAGTGGCTTCAGAAACTCAAGAGTCCAACCTAACGTCCATTCATACATTTTTATTATGAAGAAATACTTAGTAGATATAAAATTAAAATAATAGCCTATCTGCCTGATATTATGATCCCATTGGGTCTTACAAACAAATCAGAGCCAGCTTAAGTCTAATCAGACCAAACAGCTGTTTTAACAGTTGGGTTTCTCCAAAATTAAAATATTCTATTCCTGATAGTGCCTAGCAACTCCACTGTTAAAACAGCTGCTCAAGTTGAAGAGTTAAAACCCAAATGTGCGTGCAGTTTGCTTCTTATTTGCAACTGCTTTGAGATTCCTTCAAATAGAAGTTCTTAAACCTAAGTTCATTCTGACATTTCCCAACCTATTTAAGTGTTTATACTTGTATTGCCTCTACCTCTGACCTTCACACAGTATTTCTGCCACGCTCATTTCTCTTGGTGTCAGCCCTTCATGCTAAACCGTAGTTGCTAACTGGTGGTTTGGTACTTCCCTCCTTAGAAATATTACCAGTATGCTTTACGCTCACTCCTCTCTCTATTATCTTGGAAGTATTTTCACTTCCTCTGAAACAGAGATAGCAGCTCGGAAATCCCCAGACTCCACAAAATCGAATACTGTTTCCAAGACTTATATCAGTTCTGTTAAGTTTAACTGCTGACATAAGACCCTTAAAAATATTCCCCCCGGGGCTAGCAGTTAGCGTAATGGCTATGTCGCTGGACTGCCACATAGTCGACCACGGTTCGAGTCCCAGACCCGGTGGCTTAAACTCACGCCTGGCGCGTGTGCATGCGTGCCCAAGATCCCAAGAGGAGAATGAAGGAAAAGGGATTGCGGTGTGGCCATCCCCCCTGGGGGGTGATTTCTCGCTTTCTATCTCTCTGTCTCTATATATATAATCCCCCCAAAATGGGCATAGCCATTGTGGTACAAATGGGAAGATACGGACATACTATGGTGGGAGCCACATGTGAGGCCTGGGTTCAGGTCCTGGCCAAACTCAAAGCAGGTGTAGTGGTGCATGCCTGTGGTCCTAGCCAACTAGGAGGCTGGGACAGGTGACATAAAGAGACCTTGTCAAAAATCTCTCTCTCTTCCTCTCTGCCTTCCCCTTTCTTCTCTATCTCCTTTACTTCCTCCCTTCTCCCCTAAAAACAAAACAAAACAAAACAAAACAAATCCAAAAATGCTCTCTGGCACAGTTTCCATTTTTGGTCATTTGATAAGTAAATGTCTTCAAAATTCTACACCCGTCACCATGATATCTCTCAGATATGTCTGTCCAATTTCCTGTGCTTATTCTCTACCATAGAAACCTATTTATCAATAATAATATTATCAATAATGATTACTTGACTCTATCTTGCTGTCCAACTTTGCTATCCACCCACCTCCTCTATCTATTCACTCACCTTCTCATCTTAAAATCTTTGCTAACTGGACAGGACAGAACCAAGCTAAACTGATTCTTTTAAGCTCTTAAAGTCTGTGAGAAATCTTGGCTCTGATTTTGTAACAATTGCTTTTTCCCCTCAAAATGTCTTCACTCCCCATAACTGTACTACATTACAGATCATTTAAAGCCTTAACTCTCAGTGTCTAATAATAGATTTACTGCGGGACCCAGACTCAGCAAACCTGAGAATACCTACAAAGAAGCTGAACACATGTCAAAATTACAGAATTTTTCCTGCAGCAACTCCAGGTGTTCTGTGAGAAAATGTATAGAGTGATTACAACACATAAATTTCAGACAACCTCTCCCCCATGCCCCTTTCTCCGTGGGGGAGGGCAGAGGCCAAAGATACATCCACAAGTGTAGATAGCATAAATGAAAAGATGCTCATGGACCTTGTACAAGGCAATACAGTCCTGAGGCAAGCTGACTCTAATGGAAACCTCAGAGTGCTCTGTGAAACAGGCTCAGTTCCAGGATTGGAAGTCATTTTAATAAATCATGTCAAACTCTAAATTACAAGCATAATAGAGCTAAATTTTCTTAATTAAAGAAGACTTTGAAATACTAGCTCTGCTGTCACTACCCTATGATTACAATGTGAGTGCCCAAGACATTAGCCCCAAAGTCTCCAAACTGTATTTCTGAGTCGGCCTGCAGAATAGTATTCATTCTTCCAGCTTACAGTATTGTTAGAATCGGTTTTGCTTTACAGGACTAAACATAGAAAAGTTTTCATTTTTAATAAGAGCTTAGATAAATAACCCTAAATCCCAAAGGGCCTCGTTAAAGCAGCTTCATAAAAGATTTACACTTGCATATGAGTTTGAAAAAAAAAAAATGTCTACCTAGCAGTTCCTGCTGACTTCTCTAGCCTTGGGGAAGTTATTGTTAAAATTCCAATGTCTCGCTATTTCAAATGATTTAAAGCAGTCTATTATGATAAATCACCATGAAGTACACCAAATGAAAGACACTGTTCAAACAAAAATCTCAATTTTAAATATCCAAAATACACACGACGCACCCATCCGTATGTTTAAATAGCATTAAAGTTGTGATACATTCATTACTCATCTAACCACATATTTTATCCTTGGAGCCTAGGATGCAAAAACATATTTTGTACTTGGTGATCTGTTTTCTCTTTTTAGGAGGTCATTTCCACACATTTTGACTCTACCCAGGAGAATTAAAATCTATGCAGGAAAGTTCCAATAAAACTAGAAACTAAATCAGTTGGAATAACATGAATATAAGTAATGGGCCATGTTAACTTTGTATCATCTCCCTTACAGGAGCAGACTGACACAGTATTGCCTATTTAAATGGCTAGAGAACCACTGCAAACAGAACAGGATCTTACAAACAGATCATTAGATCATTAGCGATGGCAACACCTCAGTGCCTAGCACATGGGCTTGCTATATTGTAAGTGCTTAATAAACATCTTGAAAAATACATTTTTCTTTTTCTTTTTCCTTTAATTTAAATTTTTTTTCATTTCATTTTCTTCCATACATTCAATCACATTATTATTTGTCTTACAAAATGGATATTTAAACAGGTGAACATTTCTCCCTAGTACTGTTGATAAAACTACGAAATATCTTCAACAGATAATACCACACCTCTTTGTGCCATTAATGCTTTGCCTCCCTGTCCCTCCCCCAAATGTCTTTCTTCAGACCCTCCTTTTTCACACACACTATATTTGGTATTTACATCTATATACTGTGTTTCTATATCCTTTAGACAATTAGTTTCAGTCACAGAGTGCAGACACTCAGTATATATTAAGTGGGGACATACAATGCCTCTCCTTCATAGCATGACTTGCTTCACTCACCAGTAAGTCTTCCATACTCATCCACTTCCTGTCAAAAGCCAGGGTTTTGTTGTTTTTTATGGATAAATAGTATTCCATTGAGTATATGTGCCACAGTTTTTCTAACCATTCATCAGTTCGTGGGCATTTGGGTTGTTTCCATGACTTAGCAATCATGAAAAATGCCACAATAAACATCGATGTGCAAACACTTTTCCAATTAAGTATTTTTCAAGTTTATGGATCATGTGTGGTTTTTACCCCTCCATAGGACTATCTCAGGCTTTTGAGCCAATAACCGGGAATCTCTACCCAACTCTGAAAATGGGCTAGATTTTCACGATAAAGCCTCAGAATAGAAACTGACCTGAGAGGGATTTTGCTCCTCTCTAATATTCCTAACATGGGCCTTTGCGGTCACTGTGTAGAAAAGTTCAGCAACAGGAGACTCATTACAAGGAAGTTCTCTCTACTGAGTGAAACCTAATCTTTAGAACCTAAGCCTTTCAGAAAATACCTGACACATCTAACCCTTCCTCCTAATTCTTCTCTAAGCTACATATTACTCCCCACATCCTCCAGCAGTGACTCATATGAGTGAGTCCACTATTCCAGTTGTTTTTTTCAACTTAGTGACCAATTTATTAAAATGACCAACCTTGATGTTCATCACCAGTGGCGAATAATGTAACCCAACTCTTTGACAAATAGCATTTAGTCTTCCTAACAGTGTGAAATGGAATTTTATTGTTTCTGTTTTACAGAGAAGTAAACTGAAGTTCAAAAGGTTAAATGACACACTCATGGTCTCCCAGAAGACTCAAATCCACTCCTTCGATTCCCATTTCTCTAACTGTGAAGTCAGTATACATAGGCAAAAATCGCTAAGTTCCATTATTTCATGATGGTTCAGGAAACATTGATATCCTAGTTCTATGGTTTCTTTTTCATTTAGCTGGAATCCTTCTATAAAAAGAAACTTCTTCTCATAATGTATTTGGTTACTCTGATGTATAGATCATAGAAAGAAAAGAGGGATAAATGCTTGATTTTCCTCACTTCTAGTTAAAAGAGAGAGAGAGAGAGTTCATTAGCACTTTCATTGCATTTCCTATGGTAATGACCAACACAATTTCTTTTTTGTTTTCGTTCTTCAGTATTATTATAAACTCAAGAATCTAAACATGTTTGCACTTATGGTCATTTTTTTTCCCATTTGCTTTAAAGTTTTAGGGATGGTTTTTAAATCATATTTTGTCTTACAATTATATAAAATAAGTACTAATTCCAAAGTCAAATCAATGAAATTAGATAGGTTTTTAAAATTCTAATTTCTATCTTTCTTTTGTCCACCCTTATTTCTTCCTTTCATAAGCTGTTTTATTAAATTTTATGGTTTATCTTTTGACTTTTTAAAATTATAAGGAAGTACATTTTTATCACTCTTCAATGATAGCCTATTATACACTCTTTTCTTTGACACATTAGTGTACAGTTGATATTTGTCATTTCTTTTTATAGTTGTATTGCTTCTTAATTACAAGAATATATTATAATTTATACAGCTCCCAACTGATGGACATTTGTTTGGGTTGTTTGAATGAGTCACTTCTTCGTTCATTCACTTTGCAAACGATGCTGAGATGAATAACAGTCTTATACATCTATCCTTTAATTTTTGGCCATGTGTTTTTGAAATAAAGTTGTAAAAATGGGATTGTTCTATCAAAAAGTAAATGCACATGTTATTTTGCCACTTTCCCTAGATAAGAATTATACCATTTTGCATTTTCCAGCAATGTATGAGATTTCCCACTTCCCACAGTTTCACTAACAGAATATATTGTCCAATGTTTGGATTTTTGTCAATCTAATAAAACTAAAGCAAGTTTTATTTGCATTTTTTATATTAGGAATTAGTTTGCACACCTTTTTATATGCCTAAGAGCTCTTTGCATTTCATTTCCTATGAAGTATCTTTGAATCTTTGTACTTCATTTTTCTATAGGGTTGTTATACTTATTCTTCTTTGTAGCTTTGTAGATTTTTATATATTAGGAATATCAGCCTTGGTCTGTGGTTGAAGTTACAAAGAGTTTTTCACAGTTATATTCATAACTTGGTCTGTGGTTGAAGTTACAAAGAGTTTATTATGGTTATATTCATTTTTTACTTTATTTATGACACTTTGTGTACAAAACAATTTTATTTTTTCCTATGTAATCAAATGCATCAGTCTTTCCCCTTATTGTTTCTAAATTTTGAGTCATTGTTAGAACAGTTTTCTTCACTCCAAGGTAATGGAAGAATTCACCCATATTTTCTTTTAATACATTTATGGTTTCTTTTAAAAAAAAAAAAAACTGTCAGAGGGCACATCCATTTGTCAGAAAGAGAGAAACTACTCCCTCCTCCAGTGGAATGTGATCATGCCACAATCCCTTCCCTCCATTTCTACATCCCATCAGGATTTGGGCACACATGCACCAGTGCCTGGTGTGTTTTTCAAGTTATTGGGGCTAAGATTCGAACTGCAGTCAGCCATATGGGATCCAGCTTCCCTCACACAGTACATAACTACTCTGCTAGGTGCCAGCTCATGGTTTCTTTATTAAACATCTAATCTAAAATTAAAAAATAATAATAACCTCTAATCAACTTTACAACAGATCTCAGTATAAGATGCAGGGTAAAATTTTACTTTTTCCTTTATCTATCCTAATTTATGGCATCCTGATACTAATTATTATAAGTTTACATTTAACTGTCTTGAGAGGCTATCTTTATTATTATATTGATATATGAAAGCAGGTCTATTTCTGTTGTGGTCCAATGATCTGTTCATAAGTCAGTATCATACCACCTGAATCATATTAGCTTAATAATATACTTAATATCTGACAGGACTTAAATGTCCATTGATAAGACAACAGTTAAGTAAATTGTGGTAGTCTGAAAAAGGAATATTTTACAGTCTTTAAAAATTAATTAATAAAATACATTTATCAATATGAAAAGCCCTAAAAACATGAAGTTAAATAAAAAGCAAGTTGCAAAAGAGTACATACAAAACAATACCATTCACATAGCATTTAAAAACATGTATATTAACAGTATATAATTTTAATACTTATATTTAGTAAAAGTATGCATGGCAATTAACAGTATTATAGTATTACTTATAAAAGTATGTATGGCAATAATAAACACCAAATTTCAGAAATCTGATTTCTTCTGGGAAGGATAAACAAGAATCAATTTAGAGATAACTCTGTGTTAATGCTTCATCTTTTAAAACTATCTCTCTACCTATCCATCCAAACACTGTGTAAACATCAAATTTGGCAATATGGTAAGGTTTATTAAAAATGAGAGAGTAATAAAAAGAAACGTTCATTACATTGTTCTCTAACTTTTCTGTGTATTCAAAACAGTCCCTAAAATGTTAATTAAATGATAAATTTGATTAAACTCTCAGGAAATTAGCCAGAGTTCTCTGAAAGACTGACCCCTTCAGTGAAGTAAAAGATACGAGAAAACAAACATTCTCTCATTGACATAACCAGTAATAAAGACAGTACTCTAACAATTAATTTTGCATACAGATGCATAAACTGGCTGACTGCTCTTCCCTGCTGAGGCCATTAGCCAGTGCTCACATGAGGAATATATCGGACATCAGGCCTGAGCCAAGCAGCTGGGCAGTCACTGACAGTCTGCAGAAACACCACTGACAATACAAATCACTGACATGATCTACTAGGTGCCATTTCCTCCTTGGACTTTTTCTAAACTAGCCATAGTTGAAGTTGGAGAAAGGTTGTTGATATTAAAATATAAATGTTTAGCGTATTGGAATCCAAAGTATAAGACAAAACCAGCTGTTACCAAAAGATTAACTTAAAAAAACCCAGAATCGGAATCAGACCTGATGTTCAAGAATAAAGCCAAATACTCAGAGCAACTATCACTTTTATCTAGAAGAATCAATTGGTAACTTAGTAACAGAGACTTTATACTATACAATGGTAAAATTAGAAAGGGTATAAACTAGAATCTAGTCCTCAAGCATCTTATTTCAAAATTACACATGGGTCATTTATATATCATGTTTATAAGATTCTTTGGGCAGAAAAGAATAATGTGGAGTAGAGACAAATACAAAGGAAATGAGCTCCTTTACAGTAACAAACATGAGCAGGCCTTCCTACTTAACTGTTAGCGGTTCACAGGGCCCTGGGGTGTTCACCTTTGGTCCAGTGCCATCAACCTCTGCTCTCTACACTACAAATCTCATTTCTCTAGGAGGCTATCCAGATAGCCACTTCCACAGACCACGGCAGCAATTATGCTAATGTATCACACACCTGTAAGATAGCCTGCTGCATGGCATGCACTGCATTCACTTATCAGAAAGATGCATTTTAGTTACTGCTCCTCTGCCATAAGAATGCCAACCTCATCTCAGAACTTAGAAGTAAATGATCAGAAAAGTTGAGTGAGCACATTTCTGGGCAACTAGGAGTCTACATCACCCAGACAACTCATCCTAAACTTTGGT